AAGTAAGACACCAAGTCTGAGCAGTTAATAAGTATTTGTGATGAGTTTGCCAACCCACAGGATTATATTTTGCCATGAGATGTAACTGTTTGATTCCGAGGCATAATTGGAAGACCACAAGAAATCAGGACTGATCAATCAGTACTTTTGCAATAAATATTGCTGCTAAACTATGATCTTTAGCTCCTGATCAAGATGAAAGTGAGAATGAGCTTTGCCTCCAGAGAGTCTGAATTTAAGCTGGAGCTGCCACATGGCCTTGCCTGCAGGCAGGGTTCATCTTGCTGCTTTCCCAGAGGATCCGCCCTGGCTTTGTCCCTGAGGAGCCATTAAGCAGCTCTGATGGACAGAACAGATAGGAAAAAGCACTGTCATAGTAAAAGTGGCCATGTGGAGGCTTGACGGCAATTTGTTTGAAAGAGACTCTTGTGAAAAAAAAAATCGTTCTGCACACTAGCAGCTCAACAGAACTAAACAGTAGTTTCAAGGAGCAGCATCAGGTGAAGTACTGGAAGGAGTAACGCAAAGCCTGAGGGCAGTTAAGGTTGGCTCTGGGGAAGATGTGCCAGGCTTGCAAAATGCAAATCTGTTCTCTTGTGCAGCTTCACTCATTCATGTTCACAAAGGCCTGTGAATTTGGGGAAAGAGTAAGAGTCGTGTTAGGCAGGATGAATCCATTCATCCATTCGCTAAGATTGAGGGAAGGCTGGCCAGTGAAAAACGTTAAAGGGAGGAACAGAGGAGAGTGTTTATTTATAAGTAACATTCACAAAGGATAAAACTTTATCCTTTCTAGGAAGTAATGTGATTTATTGCTGAAACAGCTGGATGACACTAACTACAGATTCATCATCTGCTGAGGAGAGCTGTCTCCTCCTGTATCTCCTTTTCCACTTAATCTCTGGCTTCACATGAGGCTGTTCTACTTACAGCACAAGCAAGTAAGAATATACATCACACACAGCAACAAGCTAATGTACATCATGAGCACCAACAAGGTAACATACATCACATGCATGCCTTTATCAAGTACTTTTTAGATCACAGATGCCCAAGCAACCATCCATCATCATTTCTCAATCCAAACTAGATGTCTCCTAAAAATGCAGTCGAGAACTCAGCTGTCTCTTTTTTGTGATGGAAGATGTTGTTAGACCAAAAACTTCACCACAAAGTGTTAGCTTTCGACTCAAACACAAGACTGCTCCTACATAAAAGAGCACATGATGCTATTGCACATAACCCAGTGAGTTATTTCTCTAACTGGATAAGCAACTAAAGCTCTTGAAGAAATACTCTGCTGCCTCTTATGAGAGGCAAAGAATTTTTGGAAGCGCCATTTATAATTCACCTGCCCTTTTTCCATGAATTCCTGAGTGAGATGGTGTTCATGTACCTGACTTCAGCTGGAATTAAACACAGCATAGCAGATGATCCCCTCATCGAACAAAATCCCCATGTTGGGCAGACCCAGTGAAAGGAGGTGGAATCACATCTTGTTCTCCTGGTCTATTTTTCATGTGGTTTAGCTACACAGAAAGCATTAATTTAAATTAAGTCTTTAGGGAAGAAACATCCATATCAAACACACTATTAAACCTCACTCAGATCATGGAGGTATACGGCTGCCAGAACTTTCCCCTTATTATACGTTTCCCAGCCAGTCACTGACCTGAGATAATTTTTTTTCCGTCCACAGTTTATGCCTGCAACGAAAATCATATTGGACATTACAGGCATGGGATAGTCAAAGTCAAGTCTCTTCAGCCAAATGGATCCATGACTTAAAAGCTGCGTAATTGTCATCGGCTTTTGGAGAAAGTCTGAGGCCAAGCTTTCAAATGGTGAAAAGATCATACTGCAGGTGAAAGACTCTGAAATGCTAATCAGGAAGTTTTTCACTCTCTGAGAGAACGTCATATGGTCTGTATTGAGTGAGAACATTTGTGGGATATAAGAAGGTGGGTCTGGACTCTGAGCAGCATGAATGTCTCTAGCACGTGGACACCCCACAAGAAGACAGTAGGGATAGAAAAGTGCAAAGCAATTATCTGTCCGCAGGGTGTCAGAGGATCTGTAAAGATGGCATCAAATTTGCTTTCTTCAATGTATTTCATAATCTCTTTGTTGTACAGTAAGGAACTGCAGAAATCATGAAACATGGCAGAGCTCTTTCGGAAATTATCCCAAATATTCAAAAATCTGATCAGGAAAGGCTCTTCGCTAAAACAGTTTGCACTAAGTGAGCGCATAAATTCTTCCATCTCTTCCTTTTTGAAAGGCATGGGATATGTTTTCAATTCATATACCCTCGAGGAATCTATCAGCATTTTTCTGTCTGGAGCGATAACAACTATTTCATGCCCTCTCTTGCTTAGCTCATCCAGCACTTCCTTCACACTCAGCCAGTGGCTGCCTTCCATCGGGATCACCAGCAGTTTCCCAGCAGCAGCAGGACTCAGGCAGCACAAGAGGGGGAGCAGCACTGCCACCAGCATGTTTCCAGTTGGATGGACAGGAACCCGTGCAACAAGAGAGGCCAGGGGCGCTTCACAAGCTTTTGTAGCTTTGCTCCACCTATGCGACACTCCACTACTTGGCAATGCTTCCTAGCTCTGCCCTTTTGACTTGCCTCCCGTTTCAAGTGTTCACAAGTTTGCACGCAATGTAGTCACGGTAGGTGATTAATGATTATGAAATGTTGAGATGTGGTTTGTACTTCAAAAGCGGGCCTGCGTGATGGCAAGAAAGGTGTGTCTCCTATCATACACTTCGCTCGCCCAAGCTGAGACTACAGCTCAATGCCTCGGCCTTCTCTTCTTCCCGCAGTAGGATCACAGGCTCATGACACTTCTTACCGCCAGCAACCCAGCAACTTTTGCTGATATTTACTGGCAACATGCTCTAAGCCGCATGGGAACCCGTAAAAGAAATGTATACACGGAGCGGATGGACAGAAAAACTACTGACCCCTTATGGTAGTACTGGGTCTATAAAGATCACACTAGAATTACTCTTTCCCAGCTAGTGTTGGAGTTCCCTATGCCACTGAAGGCTGATAGAGTTGTTACAGTGTATAGTAAATTGGTATTTTTTTATTACTGTTTTCATTTCTAGTAAAGCTGAGGCAAGTTGTACAGTGAAACATAGCTTATAGTAAAGTTAAATATGAGAAATCAATGTTAAAGTACCTGGGTTTTGTTTTCTACTTTTTTTAAATAACCAAAACCAGTTGGTATAACTCAGAAAAATGATTTTTTTTTTTTTATTGATGCAAACATGCATTTTTTTGAAGATAAGTAGCCAAGAGAAAATTTTTCCCCATCTCTACATATAACTTCCATCTAACCTCTTAGCCTATTGGATATATAACTAAGTAGCAAAACAGCAATTCACCATTGCACCTCGGGTATCATAAACCAACAACACCTTTCTAATTCATGAACTCACGAGTTCATGGCCAGTGTCAGCTCAGTTCATGACTGCAACAGTTCATCAGCTCTGTGGGTCGAGGTCCTTCTTGGTTGTAAGTTGTTGGGGTTTTAAATGTTGGTGATAACCTCTCACCATAAAAGTTTATAAGTAGGTGGCTGGACAGGTGCCTTTGGGATATAATTTTTGCCTCCAGGGCACTCAGAGCTAGCTCTACACGACTGGTGGAGCTTTCTTTCACATGCAGTTTCTGCATGCTTATTTTTAAGTCCGGTGGGAAAGCTTTGACCTTATTGACAACCTGCCCTCCAAAAAGAACAGCCAGCTCCATCACCTACACTGTCCCCATATGGTAGTTTACAACATAGGATTAATTTAACTACATACGGTAGTTTACAACATGGGATTAACCTAACAGGAATTTTCAAACAGCTCAGGAGAAGGTGATGCACAGGAACAGACTTGTTGCTCATAACCTCTGAAAAGACTGTCAAATGAACACTAGAAGATGTGTCCAAGCTTGCCCACTCCTGACTCCACGTCCTTTTGAAAGACCAACCCCCTGTGAGAAACTGCAACCCCTTTTCCTTCATTCAAACATATATAACCAGTTAGAGTGAACCAAGTGGCACTAGAAACTGTCCTGTCACTCCCAACACAAGCACTAAACATACTTACTTGGGCAAAAGTGGAGGTTATTAGGGCTTTCTTCTACACTACTCTGTTTCAGGAGTACTCACAATTTGTATTAATTGAATATACCTTTCCTGCTCTCAATATGATATAGAATACACTGTACTTGATTCAGAAACCTGCTTGGTACCCGCAAACCTGAATGGGAATTTACAGAAGACATCTGTGCCCAAAAAAGCTTAAAACCTAATTAAATAACCTATAAAGGAAAGAGAAGGTACAATTTAAAAAGGCTTTCTTTTGGGGTTTAGATATCGACACAGTGACATAATATCAGGGATGTAAATTAATCAATCTGCCAGATGGAAGTGACAGAAAAAGAACTGATGAACAGCTAAAATCTTAAGTCCCATGACCTTCAATGTAGATGGAAAGAGAATGGGTGTATGGAAGTATGGACGGACAGCTCTGAGGGGAAGACACTACAGGGCAGAGAGCAGACTGTGCTTATGGGTGTTCCTCAGGCTACTCTTTCAGATCAATATAGCAAAGTCCCCCGAGCCCGGCTTTGGTTGCAGGGACAGCTCCTACATAAGAAACTTAGATGAAATGGAAGCTAACTAGTCCAGCTCCTGTTGGGGAGGAAAGTTTGCAACTCACCAGAAATTATATGAGCTTCAGTTCAACAAAAGAGCTTACCATTTGCATGAAAGTTACGTGTCGCTTAAATTCTCATATCTGATAAGGCTTTAGGTTTCAGAAAACGATATAATCTGAATGATGGATACTAGGAAATAACAACTCTGCATCATGCAGGATTTCTCATTAGCCTTCTGTCTTTAAATACCAAGTAGTGTCATTTAGGTTTTGATAGAAGAATGTTTAAGCATTTATGTTCTTGCCTTTTCAATACAAAACAAAATAAAATTTTATACCTGAGACAGTTTTTTCTTCTGACCACAGTTTATCCCTCCAATAAAAACCATGTTTGGCATCACTGGTCTCGGGAAATCAAACACAAAATCATATCTCATTAGCCAAACAGATCCATGGCTTAGAAGGTCTGCAGCTGTCAACTTCTTTTCCAAAATCTCGTATGCAAGTTCTTCAAATGGAGCAAACATAGGCTTACAGTAAATTAACTCCAGCATACGGACCAGCATGTTTTTCACACGTTGAGCAAACGTCATGCTATCTGAATTATTTAGGAATAATCTGGGGACATAAGAAGGAGGGTTTGGACACTGGGTAGCATCAGAATCCAGACCGCAAGGGAATCCCCGCAAAAAGTAGATGGAAGGAACTGAAAGATATTCACCAATTATAGGTCCACACATCATAATTGGATCCGTGAAAATCACATCAAATTTGCTCTCTCTCAAATACTGCATCATGTCTTCATTGTGCAAAAGGCTCTTACAGCTGGTGAAAAAGTACTTGGAAATTTCTATCACGCTTTGATACATTGTAATAATAGTATTCAAAACAGATTGTTCAATAAAATGAGCATTAATGAATGACTTGATCACAACAGCTAAATGTTCCTCTGTGTAAGGTATTGGATATACTTTCACTGTATAATTCTGAGGGTCCTTTGACTTCATATACAAACTTGTTGATGGTACAAGCACAACAACTTCATGTCCGTTTTGCTGGAGTTTCTCCACTACTGGGCGCATGCTGAGCCAGTGACTTCCATCCTGAGGTATCACGAGGATCTTTCCACCTTCAGCAAAGATCAAAGATGATGTCAGAAGAAGAAATATCCCAGTACCTTGGTAAAAATGCTGAAATGGAAGAGCCATTTCGGTGGACGTAGAGAGTTCTGCTGTGGAGGCATCCGACACAGTCCTTTATATGAAGGTCCATGCAAGCTTTAACATTTCTGCAGAGAACTTATTGACTTGCAGAAATAAATATTTAACTTCCCAATTGCTCATACAACAGGGAACTATTCTTGAAAAAACATGCTGCCCTTTGTACTTTCTGTTAATTTTTAAGCTTGGAAGTCAGCACATTCCTTCCTTCATGAAATTAAGACCAGGGATGTCATCTTGTAATAATAATTGTGACTAATACCATTGACTTGGTAAGTACTCAGTGAGAAAATAAGCCTAGGTTTGCTTTCAAAATTCAACCTTTAAAATACACCCAGAAGAACGAATGGAAATTGCAACACCATTTCTTTTATGGACTCCTAACTGAGAACACCTAACCAGTATGTAGAAAGCTGATGTTAAATTCCCACCTTCTGGAAGCAGTCAAACCCACAAGTCTTATGAATATATCACAGCTACCAGGATGTACCACGCAATCCCAAATCTGAGGAGAAGAACGACAAACCTGTTTGGCTTTTCTCCCCATGGTACTAGACAAAAAAAAAAAACAAACTAAATGATGGGTTCAAGGCAAGTGAAGGGAAAAGAGGTGGGCATAGACCTTTTGGGACACCAAGAAGGAGCCTTGGTCTTCGGTCACTGTCCCCAAACCCCCTTTTATATATTGTGTGCAAGACAAAATTTAGGAGGAGATATTGTATCTTTTATTAATCCCACTGATAACACGCACATGGAAAACCCCAACAAGCAAACTAGGCTTCTGAGCTCTCCTCCCTTTGCAGATAGAGGTGGTAACATAAGCAACCACATATAGGTGTCTCCTGGAGCCCTTCAGCTCTGAGCCCTGACAGAGCTGCAAACTCTCCTTTCCTCTTTCATGTTCCCTTCTGAGCAGCAGCCCAACTTTTACGAGAAAATAGAGCCTCTCTCGATTAAATTAATCAGGAACTTTGTAGTTGGACCTGTGGGTTTGAATCCACTCACAAGGAGGCACAAGCTGTCCCTAGAGTTCATGTTTTCTGAGAGAGGAACTGATTGCTGGCCGTTATAGAAAAACTCAGTGGTGATACCCCAGCTTGGGTTTCCAAAGAAAGCTCTACTAGGGTGGTGTGACCCCTTGTTTGCTGGCATTCCCTGCTGTCCTCTGGAAAGTTGCAGTGAACTAAGGCCCTCAGGGTTTTGCTGGAGAAATGTTTTCTTTATGCAAGTAAAAGCAATGCCAGACCAGTGTCTTTTGGGTGGTGCTAAGGAAGAGGTCCCTGCGAAAAGCTGATGCAAAACTATCAGCAGCACATTCTCCCTGTTCCTTTCTCTACTGAAGAGTTTTCTACTAGAACTCTCTCAAACTGCTTATCTCTGAGTTGGACTGGTTGTGATGTGTGGATTTCTTCTAGCCCGGGCAGCAAACACTGAGGGAAGAGGATAGCAAATGGAGCTCAGCAGCTACTTGTTATATGAGCAGAACTAAAACTAGAACTAGAATGTTTGTTGAGGGAGCCTGAAATGTTGGTTTCATCTACTGGATTTGTTTTCTTGTTGCTAGATGACATCACACCCTTATGCTCTGGGTCTTGCAAGCAGGAAAAAGTTGTTCAAATGCAAGAGTGTGTGAATGATGTAATTTGATTTCCCAGCTTTCTGGATGGTGGATCAGGCTTACACATTTTGTCAGCAGAAATCCTTGTTTAATTGAACTCAGTCCCTTTTTGATGCTAAACAGTGTCAGGCATAAGGATTACAGTAAAATGCAGATTGATAGCTGCTAACACAAACCTGCCTGATTCCCCCCTTACATTTTACATAGCTATGGAGATACACTGGTGTTCGCCTGCACAGGATGAGATAGTATGTAGTTTGGCTAGCATGACTTCAGAGGAAAAACAACCCATGAAAGTGATGACTGCAAGTCAGAAAGTAACCTTACTCTAAGCCTTTGTGGTAGCAAGAAGCAGCAGGCAGCTAGGGAAATCACAGAACACAGATTATTTCTAGAGCAGCTCTTTCCAAAGCAGTGAACAGAAAGCATATGAAAATGATTGCATGTGATCTTGAAATTAATGACTGTATCCTAACAGAAAAAGTGACATTTAAGGCTGCCCAGGTAACTGTAACTGGAACATTTCCTAACTTCTGTAGGGCAATGTATTTGATATTTGTAAATTTAATGCTCTTACAGCCTTTCTAGAGTTTTGTGCGTAGACCTCTGTCAAATACTGTACTTTTAGACTCACATTAGGGAATGTATTTTAATTTAACCAGAAGACAAACTTCCCATGGAAAGGGAAACTAAGGGAGTAGTTCCATTTGATATTATGGACTTTCTGTCAAAAGAACTGTGTTTTACAGCTTCCTTCAATATCTCTTTTGCAAATTATGGGAGACAGCGGAATGTGGACAAGAGCAAACTGAAGAGGACAGTGAGATGAATGGTTTGGTTAGAGCAGTTGCTTCAGGTTGATACATCCTGTGCATCGAAGATGTACAATGCACGATAGTTAAACTTTCTCTTTCACAAGTAGAGCTGCTTTTACTTGCCTGATGTTGTGTATTCTGCCATTGCAACATAAGGCAGATGAATATTATTGTCAGCTTTAAAGGCACTCAGCATCCTTTACAAAAACATAATAGACAGATGCTGACGTGGTATCAGGTTGCTCTGAAGCACCGCAAGGCTCATCAACACCTTGAATATTGCATAAAAAAACCGACCCTAGTATTTGGTTCATGAACAGAGTGGTGACTACTGCTTCAGTGCTGAAAATGAGCGTTCCCCTATAGCTGTACTAATCTTAGCTACCCATGTTAGCAAATTAACAGTACCTGCAGACATGATGGGATCCCTTCTGAGGTCACGCAAAGTGATGTTTCGGTTGTGCAGGCTTTTGAAAAGTATGTCTCTGTGTACCAGGTATGTGTGGGCACTTTGGTACTTCTGACTGTATTCTTTGGCTTCTTGCCAAAGTCTTTGGTTTCTGCTTTAATTGCATATTTCAGAGGGCCAGTTAGAAATGTGTCCTTATGGGATCTCCCCAGATGCTGCTGGCTCTGGCAGGAGGGTTTCAGAACAGGTCCTGTTTTCCTAATCCTTGTGCTAGAAGGACAAACCACAGGGTTTTTATTCAGTTACACTTCTCATTTACTTGAGTAACTACCTACTTAAATCTGGGGTTACTCTAATGTTTAAAGTTAATCAGTTGTTTAAATAAGTAATGGGTGTGTTAGGTTAAAAAGAGCACAAACAACTTTGGAAGGTTGCTATAGCTTACATTTCTGAACTTTGCTTTGATCAAATCATACGAGCTTTGTTTTTATGAGCTGCCCAAAAAAAGCAGCTTTGCATTAACCTTGATTAAAGACGAGATATTCATCGAAGTGTCTCAGGGCTTACAGTCCGAGTACATTTGGGATGTCCCCTAATGAAGGACCACTTACCGTTCTGGCCTTCAGGTATTTCTGGACTCATTAGAGGATCACGCTGGCACTGGACCTCTGCTCAGTCAAGATATTGGGTCTGATTTCCTGCAAGCCTTGTATTAAACCTCCAGACACATTAGGACTTGGCGACTGGATTTAACGTGCCTGTTAGTGAATATGTAATTTCTGCTGATACAGGTGCCCATGCAAAGTGCTGGGCAAGAGGAAATCCAGCCTGAGACAGCCAGTGAGGTTATCTCAATTAGTAAGCTTATGTTCCCCCAGGCCCAGTCCTGTGGTCACATGCTCTCCCACTCCCTCTGAGACTGCAGACTGTGGATGATGCTTGTGGCTCAGGAGAGTCAGAGAATTTAGGATTTAATCCCCAGCTCTATGCTGTATAAGACCCATATGCACAGTTCTGCAAAAGTATGAGCTCCTTAGCACCCCAATGTCTTCAACTCCAGAGCAGGGACTCCATGGGGCCACATCTTAACTTTTTGTTTTCTTGTACATTGAGCAATAGGCTACTGGGTTTCAGAGACTTATCTATTCTTATGATATGATTATACTTTTGAACAGTAATGAACAACACAGGGTTTACCACTGTGTATGAACTGGCAGAATTTTTCTCTCTTCTATGACTCACTTCACATTTGTTTACACTCTACAGCATTATTGCCTTGTTTCACTGTTCAGAGTGAAATAGGAGAAATTTCTCTGCTCTCTGTAGAAAATGTAGCTAGAAAAGGCAGGCGGAAGATAGGAATAAACAAGGTTTTTCCAGGTTTGGAACATGTCATTTCCACCAAACGACAAACATCAGTGTAAAGACAGGAGATGCTACATATAAAATGAGGGCAGGATGGCTCTACCCTGGTAGCAAGCTTACAAACTGTTTGCAGTTCCCAGACCTTCTAAGATATATAAATGAAGACTTGTATCATACAACCAACTAGAATTTGCCTCTTAAATCTCAAACTATTAAGTGCCACTCTCTTGAGCCTAGCGCGAGTGAATGCCTTATTTATATTATTATTCTAATATTGTAATTTATAACATTACTCTTTATTTGCCTTATTCTTTATTAAGTTTAGTGGACTCCGCATAAGCCTGTCAAAGAGTATAAAAGGAATACAGAAGAAAAAGAAAAAAACTCTTCATCTCAAAGATATTGTACTGCACTAGTGGGTGCAGTGATACTGTGTGACCACAATTCAAAAGTGAGGGAGTCATTTCATAGGAAAGAGATTTATGTCCTGCTTTGTGCCTGGAAAGAAATGTCTAGTGCTATTAACTGTTTTAGAGACTATATGGTAACTATCAAAACAGATTTAAATTTCTAGATTAGCTTTAAAAACCTTGCAGAACAATTCTGGTAAAAGCAAATGCCAAGAAATAGGTATAAAAACCTATCTGAGTTTTGCATACAAGTGTCATGAAATACAGTATTTTAGATTTATTCTTCCCATTTCAACATGGCATTTATGTTTCACCGTGGTCTACAAACAGAAATAACATTGACAGCCAGTTTGGAAACCATACGTTACAAAAACACAATCAAAGCAAATTAAATGACTTTGACCCTGGAGTTAAAACCAGAAGATGACTCTCAGTGCATGGTCTTTAGGTTTTTGGTCAGGTGAAAGAAATATATGCTAGACTCCATGAAAATGAAATCAAAACTGTGTCTGGTGAATAATATACATTCGCTGGGGACAGTCATTTGTAGCTTGCAGATGAAGCCCATTTGTTGTTGGACTTGTCAGAAAATCCTCATTAACTAAAATAAATCATGTGACTTCAGCAAAGTAATTTGATTTCAGTCTGTGGAGAACAACTATCAAAACCTGGGTGTATTAAATCACTACCAGAAGTTTAAAAAAATTCAATAGCACTAAACTTCCAGAGATGATTTAATCACATTTCATTGGCCAATGTATAATTTCAAGGAAAAAGAACATACCTTAGAAAGTGGTTTCTTCTGAGCACAGTTTATACCTCCAATAAAGACCATATTGGGCATCACTGGTCTGACGTACTCAAACACAAAGTCAAATCTCAGAAGCCAAATGGAAGCAGAGTTCATGAGGTCTAGCAGAGATACATCTCTCTGAAGAACTTCAGACGAAAACTTTATTGCATCTTCATAGAAACCGTTACAGTACACAAGCTCCAGGAGGGAAACCAGTGCATTTTCCACTCTCTGGAGAAAAGTCATGTGGTCTGAGTTGAAGGTAAATAGTCTTGGGGTGTAGGACAAAGGACTTGGGCACTGCGGTGCTTCATAGTGTAAGTTGCAAGGAAATCCTCTCATGAAGAACACAAACGGAAGAGAAAAATAATTAGCAAGTGTTGCTCCACACATAAAAACGGGGTCTGTTAGGACTGCATCGAAGCCACTTTGATTCAAGTACTGCAGGGTCTCCTTGCTTCTGAACAGGTCCTTGCACTGAACAAAGAATGTACGGAAAACGTGCACTGAGCTGTTGTATAGTGCTAGAGTGTTCAGTGGGAAAGGCAGGTCCTTCAGGTGAGTGGCAACATACTCATTAAAGGCATTATTCAGCTCTTCTAACGTGTAAGACACTGGGTATGTTTTCATGTATGCCTGTGTAGTTTCCATCTGCCAGTTTACTTCTGGTACAACCACCACCACTTCGTGTCCTCTCTCGGTGAGCTTTTCAACCACTTGCCGCATGCTAAGCCAGTGGCTTCCAAGCATGGGCACCACCAGGAGTTTCCCTCCATCCGAGAGGCCAGGAAGGAGGAAGATAAAAATCCAGCCGCAGCAAAGCCTCAAAGTCATGTTCCTGTGATCAGAGTACAGACTGGGGAAGAGTCTTCTCCTTTGGGCTGCAGATTGCAGATGCTTCTGAAAGAAGCCAGCGGGTTTATCTGTTGAGTTGTGCTGCTTTGTCATATTCTTCTAGTTAATGATTTACTGCTTTGGATTGTGGGTGGTTTGTTTGTTTTGCTTTGTTTTGTTTTTTCTCAATTCTTGTAAAGCCAAACACGGTGACCCTTCTCCTGTGCTGAGTCATCAGAGTTCCTTATTGTTCATACATAGAACTAGATCCTCAACATGCTAGTCAGATTTCTTAGGACTTCTCTCTTGATTGTTGATGTGTCCTGTCTTACACCTTGGCCAGGACCAAGGAAGGCAAGTCTGGTGCAAACAACTCCAACACCACAGTTACAAATGAAAAAAGCCTGAACAAATTTCATTGTGCTTGTTGATGTTCAGGTAATTTCTCTGAGGACAGAACAGGAGACCCTCAGGATAAGGGGAGAGGACAGATGAACCAACTCTTATGAGCTAGCAGAAATCTCCTTTGTCTACAAGGACACCAAGAAGAGACACTGAGAGAGGCTGGCCTGGTTGCTGAGGCAGAGATCTGTGAAACTGAACCCCAGGTTTTTGCTTCAGAGCGGTAATGTAGTTCTTTCACAGCCTACGAGATGGCCCTCAAGCAGTTGAAAACTCCTCACCACTTGCCTCTACATCAAGACACAGCCTCTGCCCTGAGGCACGCTTCTTTTCACTCCCTTTCATACCAGGGTAGATGCAATGAAACTAATTATGTATCATTTCCTTATGTCTCCTTATCAGCCTTTTTATTTCTTTTTTCCTATTTTACCAATGTCTGTAACTTTTTCCTTGTGTAGGGAAACTACTGAGTAAGTGGCAAAATGCAGTTTTCTTTCAGGCACTTGATAACTTTTCTGAAAACAAAATATTTGAGCTTCAGAGTAAGGAGAGAAGCTGTGATGTAAAAGTGAAAAAATACTCACTCTTTTGTGTTGTTATAAATAGAGAGTAATAATTAAAACTTGTTATTATTTCCAGCTTTATATAGACTGTACTTAAAAATGATCACTGGAAAGTTGACCACTTTAGTAAACAGCATTTTCTCACAAAAAGGTTGATTTTTTAAGAGTTTTTCTTTGCATCCCCCCCTGCATTTTATGAAGAGGGGTAAGCAGACAGCTGTTAGTGAAATGTCCTGCCCTCTCCTCCCTTCTGCAGCAGAATGAATTTGCTGTCCAAACCTTGCAGCACCCTTAATGTGAAGGGACTGGGTGCAAAAGCAAGTGCAGGACGGATGAAGTTAGTCAGTACCTTAGAGGCGTTTCTGAGTGAGAGTTTGCCAGTGACTCCCTCCGTTGGCTTGGCTATCTGGCAAGGGTTTCTTGATGAGTTAAACGTTGCTGTGTTCAAGAAAGGGCGAGGTAAAGAGTTGTTCACCTCTCACATGGGGGCAGCGGTGCAGGAAGACAGTGGGAACTCTGAATTTGGGTAAGGAGTCACATAGATGGGGGGTGCTGGAGCGTGCATGGAGACAACCTCGAAAGAAAGGGGCTGTGCTGGCTGGTTGCGGCAGGAATGTGAAAGAGGGGTGTTGTGCCAGCACGACTGCTGCCCGTGGCTCTGTGGCCCTGCTGGCATGATGTGCGTGATCACAGCAGATTAGTGAGTCTCTGCTGGCAGCAAGGGAGGTGCCAGCTGAGCCACTCCAGGCTCGGTGGCAGCATTAGGAAGGCGGCTGCGAACACCTCGTTTCAAAGAGGGAGCTGGTCTTCCCTGATTACAGGCCAGGCTCATCTGTATTTGAAATCCCAATGCCGGTACAAGCCCTGGTCTGCACCTGATGGGGCCACACGACCTCAGGGCTGGAAATGGACCAGAAGGTGCCGAAGAAGCAGCAGCCCCAGCTTCATCCCTGGCTGTGTTTTTCGGAAGGCTGGTGACCTGAGAGGTTTCGGGTGGTGTTGCTCTCCTCCCCATGCCAGGTCGCCCACACAGCAGCAGGAGCTGGGCCGGGACCACCCGGGCCTCCCTCTTCAACCCCTCGGGGCGGGAACCGCGGGGTCTCCATGGCAACCCCGGCCGCCGGCTCCCATCATGCGCCGCGGCCGCCAGGAAACTACAACCCCCAGAATGCCCTGCGGAGGGGGGGGGGGGCGTGCGCTACCGCACTACCACTCCCAGCAGGCTGCGTTACCGGCTGCTCTCCGGTTCGCTTCGTCGCCCGCGCCCGGCGCTTCCTTCCCGCCCCTGGCAGGAGGGGAGCCCGCTGGTTTCTCTCTTTCTCTCTCTCTATCTCTTTCTGTCTCCGGGGCTTGGCCAGGTGGGTGAAGTCCCGGCGGCCCCTTCAGGTCCCAGCGTGCTCCGCGCGGCGCCACAACAAAGATGGCGGCGGGCGCGGGGCCGTGGCGCTAGGCGCCGGGCCCCGGTGCTGGCTCTGAGCGGTGAGTCGGGCTGGGCGGGGGACCGTGCCCTTCCAGCCCCCGGCGCTGTGAGCCGGCAGCCCCGGGGGCACTGGTCCTTGTCCTCTCTTCGGGACCGGTGAGCCCGAGCCTGAGGGCTGGGCCCAGCTCCCGGGCTGCAGCGTGTGGGAGGGGGAGGCGGGCGGGTTCAGCCTGAGGGAGGGACGGCGAGGTGGGGGCTGTGTTGCTGTGGGGAGGGCATAGCTGCAGCCTGATTCTTGTGTGCATGTGTATGGGGGGGGCTCTGGGGTAGGGTGAGGGGTGCCAGAGCCAAGTTACAACCTGCGAGGTTCCCAGCAGAGGTCAGGAACATAGGGCAGGGGCTTAGAGGGGGTTTGGGATCTTCTTTCCTGGAGTTATTCCAACTTTGGCAGGACAAGGCCCTCGTAAGTGATGTGCTCTTGAGGTGACCCTGCTTTGTCAGGGCGTTGGAGCAGAGCTGCCCTCCAGAGATTTGTTCTAATCTGCATTCCTGTATGATTTCTAAAGCGGGGGGGGGGAGGGGGGGAAGCTGCTAAGCAGCAGTGCTCTGAGGATTGAGAAATAAGGAGCGAAGGAGGATTTGGCACTGTGCTGCTGAAATGCTTCTCTGGAGTGGTGGGTGGGTGCAGCAGACTGTTAGTAAGATGATTGCTGTTTCCTAGATATATGTTTTGTTTTGTTTTTTTTAATGGCGAACAAACTTCTTAGGAGCAAGCTGTTGTGTGTTCCAATGAGGAAAAGAGGAAGGGCCAGAATATTTGGATGGTTAAATGGTAAAGTGCAGCAGGTCTAACTGGAACAATGAAGGCTGTGAGACAGTTTGGGAAGAGTGCTAAACCTAATAATTTAATCTGAAGCATGGGAGGTGGGACCTTTACAGACTTTTATTTTTTTTTTTTGCAGTCAGGGTATAATAGCTGCATTCAATGGAGAAAAACCTAATGCAAATAGATCAAAATGATTACTTTCCTGTCTGTGTTCATTAAGAAGTATCCCCAACCATGTTATTTTATTTTATGTAGGGTTTCTAAGGGGATATTTATTGTATGAAGTGCAGAAGTGTTACAGAACAAGCATAGTGAACACTGTCACCAGGCTTCATAGTCAGCTGCTCTGAGTGTAGCCTTTTGCCTAAAAGCTATTCTACTGTGGGAAAGATTAAAATGAGCTTTATGTAATGTTATTTTATAAAAAGAGGTTTAGGAGATGCCTGATGAACTATTAGTTGGTTCAGTGGGGAGCTACATTCAGATTTCCAAGAGTCATTCAACAAGTTTTTGCCACTGAAAACTCTTAAAGAAATTAAGTTGACACAGGAGAAGAAAAGAAAGTTATTGCTAGATTAAATATTTAGCTAAATAATTAGCTAAAAGATAGGAAGCAGCAGATCAACAGTTGCAGAGGGGAGTGAAGGGGAGTTTCTTCATATTTTTGCTATGGCCTGTGTTCAGCATATCATAAACTATCAGAAATAAACAGTGAATGCTGAGATGATTAATTTTTGTGAAATCGACTGATGTACTTCAGTAAAGACAAGTGTCGTTAGTGAAGCTTTAAAGTCTTTATGCTAACAGGTAGCTGAATGAAACAACAGCAGATAATATTTATTGTAGGTGAGCCCGAAGAGGTGTAGCATGGGGCAGAGACGGTCACAGCTTTATGGCTATATATATAGGCACATGTATTTCTGTAAAGTGCTTCTATAGTGATGGGGTTTGAAGTGAATGTACAGGAATAAGACCTTGGTGTAATAATAAACATTACTTGAAAAGAAGTAGTTTAGTGCTTAGCAGTTGTACAAAAAGAGAACAAACCAGAGCAGCATTATTTAGCTATGGATGGCCATGGCGTGCGCACGTCTCGAATGTTGTAGGCAGAGGTAGTCCTCTGATCTCAGAAACAGGTAAAGGAGAAGTTTAAGGGGTTTGGAGGAGATGGATAAGAATAATCAAAGATAAGGAGCAAGTTCAGTTGCAGGAGTGAATAAGTCTTTGTGGAAGCTTTTGTCTGGAAGAGGTGTCTGAGTGTAATATGATAAAGATCTGTAAAATTGCATGCAGAATGAAGGTGAATAGGGGAATGATTATTCACTGCTTGGATATAACTATTTGATTGCTCACTGCTTATGCAAGAGCTACAGCATACCAAATGAAATTATGGGGTGACAAGTACAAAACAAAAGGGAGCTAGCGTTGAGTCCTGGTGCATGCTAAGAGGTCGAAAGGCTTCTGAAAAGGACTGAAAAAATGTCCATAAGAAGAATTAGTTGCCATTGAGTTTGACTCAGACATCTGGAAACAAAGATAATATTTTCATAAAATATCACTGCATTTTTGACTATTTAATACACTTCCCCCCTGAACTGGGCAATACTAGAGACAGATTACTCGTGCACATGGGTTTATTGAGAGCCAGTGTAGGGGTTATGATGAGTTTGAGAGGCCTTACATACCTTTCGTGCAGGAAGCTGGGCAACTTGAGCACCAGTTAATGATAGGTGTTTAGAAAGACCTATTTATTTTGCTATTCATGTTTTTGCATATGCAAAATTAAAATAAGATGTATTTGATTCTAGATAAAA